TGTTACTCAAGCAGAAGCCCTGAAAAATGAGTGTTCCAACGGCTTAGTGGGGACAGCAAAGCTAGCCAGGCTTGCTTGAAAGTAAATTCCATTCATTTCAGTGAAATCTATTTATCTGTAAGTGTAAATAAACTTTTAAGAACGCTTAGTTCTTAAGTACTAACTATATGTTGCACTCATCCTATAAGAATCTTTAAATAATGCTTAGTTCTTAAGTACTAGCTATATGTGGACACTCATCCACAGGCAGCAAGTGCCCTTAAAAAAAAGGCTCTTTGGGAGAGAATATTTTAAAGAGGAAAAGTACTGGGGAGAGCAAGACTTTGCACAGTAGTTGACCACTGTGAAAAACAGGATGCTGAGCCCAAATAGTTGTTTGGTTTGATCTGGTAGAGCAGAGGTTTTCAACCTTTCTGAGTCCACGGTTCCCTTGACCAATTACATTCTTCCTGCAGCACCCCAGTAGGGCTCAGAAACCCAGTTATGTCACCCCTTGCCTGCAGAGCTGGCAGGCTCACACCCTATTTCAAACACCCTCCCTTGTGGAGTGTTCTCTCAGCCTCCTCCCCCCTCACCTCTCCTTAGGAGGCCTCTGGCCAGCTGCAGCTGCTGCCCTGGTCTCTGAGCTGCCCCCCTTACCCCAAAGAGAGGTGCCTCCTCACACTGCCCCACAGGGGCCTGGGAAGTACCCCCTGGCCAGCCCCAGAGGCACCATTCACCTGGGGAGCTTGTAGCCAGGGCTGCTGCAACAAACAGCCGTGCAAGCCTTTGAGAGGCAGAGACATGAGAGGGCATCAGAGGAGGGAGGGAAGGAAAGAGGGACAGAGGCCAGTGCTGCCTCCGACCATCATTCAAGGCACCCTAGGTGCCACAGCATACTGGTTGAAAACCACTGCAGTAGAGCATCACCGGCACGAGAAGAGCTGAAACACAAGAAGCAAAGACAGACTATCCTAAAGGAGCCAAAGCTCATATGATATTTTGGGATGCAGCCAACAACAAAAAATGTAGGATTGTTCAGACAGTGCAGCCCTGAAAGCATTCCCTTGCCAATCAAGGCAATGGTTATCAGTAATTAGTTAAAACAGAAACATGTGGATACTTTTGTGCCTGTGGTTGGAATTCCCTTGCCTGGCAGCAGTAGCTCCATTAGTGTGTAGGCCAGGTTTCCACATTTTCTGCTAGCGGTTTCTGGTTATGTCCCAGCATTTCTACTCTTCAGAGCCAGAACATGAAGACAGCTCTTGGGGGAATGTTTTGTGGAGACAGAACATGTTTTTGTGCAGAAAATGTTATCTTAAACATAGGTATGTAAATTAGGAATTCATAGTCTAGGAAATAAGAGATTGTGCTTCTTGAGAAATTACGATGTAGTTTTTTTTCAGCTCTTAAATTCTTATTCAGATTGAAATAATATTGTTTGAAAAAAATACTTCTATCTTATTTTTCATTGCCAGAAATATTTTGTTTTACAGAATGCTGTATTTTCTCTTGCTCCTTTTTTTAATAAAAAAAAATCCAATTCCCTTACTCAGCAGATGAATCTGTTATTTTAAGTTTCTTGCGGTCTTCTGAAATACATTATTTAGGTTTTCATCTTATTTCTCTCTTCTAGGGTGATGGGCTGTTCAGTAGACAGCCTAAAATTTACAGCATCCTGGAAAGGTCAGATACGAGCAGCAAAGCTCCAGGTTCAGGTATTCTGCATGTTCATGTTTTTCTCATTCACTGAAGCTTCCATGAAATTCTATGAAAGCCAATTGAAATGTCCTTTCATTTGTTCTATTGAAATTATAGCCTACCCAGTCCCCAGACATGTGATGAGTTACCTAATTACCCTAGACACTCTTATTTTCTATGGGAACCAAAGGCCAATAACATTTTTCACATTTTTCTGGAAAACAAACGTGCAGGTCTCCAGAAGAAATTATTCTAAAAGCTGAGTATGGGGGTCACAAAAAATGTTACTAGAATCCACTGCTGTAGCACACAAATTAATTTCCCTTCCTTTAAGATGCTTTCCTCTTAGAGTGGTTCTCTGGTAAATGGTGCTTTCTATAGGCAGCAGTAGCCAGCTTGATGGTGTCGCACCTCTGTCTTCCCAACACTGAGCATCACTGCTGCTTACTAAAAGTGGGAGGGATGGGGCACAGGGAGCTCAGTGTGGTGTGAATGCAATAGTAGGAACATCTGATTGGTTGCACCACACTGAGCTTCCCATACCCCACCCTTCTCGGTTAGCAGCAGCAGTGCTCGATATTGGGAAGCCAGGTGTGCAATGCTGCCCTGCCTGTGCCACTCCACTGATCACTGCTGGCTGTAACATGTGAGTATCGCAGAGAGGTAAGCTTGTCACTTGTCACTACCTTGCCAACAAAGGTCCGTATAGTAGTGATGTATGGAAGAGAGAGCTGGACCATAAAGAAGGCTGATCGCCGAAGAATTGATGCTTTTGAATTATGGTGCTGGAGGAGACTCTTGAGAATCCCATGGACTGCAAGAAGATCAAACGTATCCATTCTGAAGGAAATCAGCCCTGAGTGCTCACTGGAAGGACAGATCCTGAAGCTGAGGCTCCAATACTTTGGCCACCTCATGAGAAGAGAAGACTCCTTGTAAAAGACCCTGATGTTGGGAAAGATTGAGGGCACAAGGAGAAGGGGGTGACAGAGAACAAGATGGTTGGACAGTGTTCTCAAAGCTACCAGCATGAGTTTGACCAAACTGCGGGAGGCAGTGGAATACAGAGGCGCCTGGCATGGTCTGGTCCATGGGGTCACGAAGAGTCGGACACAACTAAACGACTAAACAAAGCTTGTCACTTCAGCAACTGTTAGTCCTGGCGCCAATAGAAGCCTGGCAGAAGTCATCACCTTGAGGCAGAAATAACACTTCAAGGACTGGCAGAGTCCTCGGGGAGGGGTTGGGGGGGGGACAGCACGGCATGCATAACAAAACGATGTTTAGATTTAAAATGAACTGATTAAGAAAAAGACCAGTTGACAGGAGCAAGGGCATTTATTGTGGCTTAATGAAGGCTAGGACTTGCAGATCGTAAATCTGGGAGCGGATTGTCAACAATTACAAATGCATTTTTCAGACATTCAGACTTCCGATACGGTTTTCAAGTGTATCTGTAAAGGTCACCTAACAATTTTGGGATCCTCTCTGAAAGACAATTTGAAGTGCAGGTGCTCTTTAGTCAGGTACCTGAACCAAGTTTACAGCTTGGTCCAGAGGGATTTCCAATCCTGAAATGGATAATTAATTCACCAGATAACCTCAAGGCATGATTAGGGTAACAATTCCTTCCTATTAAGGCTATGAGGAATTCTTGATTCAGAGTCAATTTGTACATTATTATATCTTTTTAATGACATATAGAATTACTTGGACAGAGACTCTACCCTGACACATCTCATGCCCATATGCGAAAACATGCCTTTTGTCATAATTTTAAATCACTGGGAAATGAAAAATAAAGAGATGTTCCCAATGACATTTTAGCAGTAGCATGAATTCAGTTAAAACAGAAAATATATCCCAAGTTATGTCTTCAAGTTTTGCAAACATCAGATGTGCTGCTTATACCCACAAATATTAAAACCATACAGACACTTGGCTCTGTATAAACTAAAGAGAAGCATGGCCGTGCCTTCCCGGTGGCTTTCCAGTTGAGTTGTGATCGCACTTAATGATCATTCAGTTCCTACAGTGGAGAACCTGAACCCTGAAAATCAGAGATTCTTTGCAATCTGCCAGCTTACACATTTGTTTGAAATAAAGTGAAGCTTGATGTGTGTGAGCAAATTTATCTAATAATGATCATGAAGGCTGCATTGCTACTTAAGGCACAACAGTATTCTATTTTTCTATTAGTGCTGCAAATCATTCCTTCCTTTGACTCGTAGGAGGAAAGATAAGGAGTGAGCTCTTTCTTTCTCCCTCATTTCTGTCCTCTGTCCACCTGCCTGTGCATACAATCAGTCAAGGTAGGCAGCAGGAAGACATAGCCTCTTCCTTGCCATTCCATGTTCCCAACTCCCAGCAGTAAAGGCAAAACTGCTGCATTATTTGTCCTGGATGGCACCAGTCCTCATACAAGGACTAGTGGCACAAAATTTGCCTGGGGATCCAACAAGGACGCCCCCCCCCCAAAGCAATGAGGTTTTGCAGTGAAATAAGTCAGGGGGATATAGCAATGGCCAATAAATAACTATATTACCTTGCCTGCACAGGGAATTAGAAGAACAACCTGGTACCTCAGGGTAAGAACTTAATTTGTTCTGGAGGTCCGTTCTTAACCTGAAACTGTTCTTAACCTGAGGTACCACTTTAGCTAATGGGGCCTCCTGCTGCTGCCGTGCCGCTGGAGCACGATTTCTGTTCTCATCCTGAAGCAAAATTCTTAACCCGGAGTACTATTTCTGGGTTAGTGGAGTCTGTAACCTGAAGCGTCTGTAACCCGAGGTACCACTGTATTACATTTAAATGTGTTTATTTACTCAAAATGGTTGACAGAGTAAAAAATAGTTCTTATGGATGGAAGCACAAATACTGAAAATAGAATAGAATGATTAGTGGTTAAAATTATGCAGACTTATCTGCCCAAAACAATTCCCAACAGAGATAGGAAAAGACATACCGTATAAGGGATTATGAAGTGGATGTTTAAACCCAACATAAGCAAAAAGATACTAAATAAACCAAGAGGAGGAAAAGTTCACATGCAAATTGCTGGTTTTCAGCTCTCCCAGGAGCTGTAGGTGCGTAAGACTCATGAAATATGAAAGGCAGAAAGAAGTGAGAGGGTTGGGACACAGAGGCTCCCTGTCTCATAAATGAATATTAAGAAGAATGAATACTAAGAAGCAGTTTCTTGAGATTTCACTGTTACCGCTGGAGCCTTGTTGTGGCTGGGTTTGGAGGTTTACTGCTGATTTGGGTGGGAAGAGGTTTCTTTTCAGAACAGAGTTAACTAACTCCCCCTGTATTCTGAGGGATAGCTCAGCCACTAAAGCATGAGACTCTGAATCGCAAGGTTGTGGGTTTGAGCCCCACAATGGGTGAAATATCCCTGCATTGCAGGGGGTTGGATTGGATGACCTTTGTGGTCCCTTCCAACTCTACAGTTCTATGTCTTCAGTTATCTCCACCACAACCTTCCATATTGTGGGCCTTGACTGGCCTTATCCAACGGGGATACAGGAGTGAGAGATAAAGGGAGTGATGCTAGCTAAAGCTCAGGTAGGGGAGAGAAGGCTTTTCCCCCAGTAGGTCATGGGGTCAAAGTATCTTGAAAAGGAGAGGCATGGGATCGCCTTCTGGATAGGTTAAAAAAAGCTGTACAACTTAGGGGTGGAAGAGAGAGAATTGATTTATCAGCTGACATTTAACCTAAATTTGCAAGGTCATCTTAATTCATGTCTGGGAGAAGCGCAGGTGACACTGAAGAACAAAAAGTGCAGTTAATGAGCTGCCATGAGTGATAATAATAATAATAATAATAATAATAATAATAATAATAATTTATTTGTACCTCGCCCATCTGGCTGGGTTTCCCCAGCCACTCTGGGCGGCTTCCACAGAGACCAAAATTACACTAAAATGTCACATATTAAAACTTCCCTGAACTTAAGATGTCTTCTGAATGTCAGGTAGTTGTTTATCACTTTGACATCTGATGGGAGGGCGTTCCACAGGGCAGGCGCCACTACCGAGAAGGCTCTCTGCCTGGTTCCCTGTAGCTTTGCTTCTCGCAATGAGGGAACAGCCAGAAGGCCCTCGGCGCTGGACCTCAGCGTCTGGGCAGAACAATGGGGGTGGAGACGCTCCTTCAGGTATCCTGGGCCGAGGCCGTTTAGGGCTTTAAAGGTCAACACCAACACTTTGAATTGTGCTCGGAAACGTACTGGGAGCCAATGTAGGTCTTTCAAGACCGGTGTTATGTGGTCTCGGCGGCCGCCCCCAGTCACCAGTCTAGCTGCCACATTCTGGATTAGTTGTAGTTTCTGGGTCACCTTCAACGGTAGCCCCATGTAGAGTGCATTGCAGTAGTCCAAGCAGGAGATAACTAGAGCGTGCACCACTCTGGGATAAGCGCAGGTGACACTGAAGAACAAAAAGTGCAGTTAATGATCTGCCATGAGTAACAGCAATTACATTTCCCACCACAGTCACAAAAGGTGACTTCACCAGTCAAGATTATGCTTTAAGACTATGTACGCTACAGAGATTGACCTTGGATTTATAAGGAAATACAAACAAGGTTGCTTATTTTAATTAGAGCAGCATGTTTGCTGGAGATAGCTCATTATTCGCGCAGGATGATTAATAGCTGAATTTGAGGTGTTTACCTGCATTTGACATGACACAGAGTCCATAGGATTAATTAGGCATGCATTAAGGTGGTTCATTTGTCACAGGGAAAATCTCATGTTCAGCAATCACTCTGGGGAGCATCCTTGGAACAAACAACTGGGGATCTACTTGAATATGACATAGTAGGTTTGAGGGTCCTCTTATTAAATGTGCTCCCCTTCAGTGTGACGCTAAATGATACACAGTTTGGGAGGCATGTGCCATTGAACTGAGCTCTGTAACAGTGGCGAGTGGCAACATTATTTTATTATATACCTTGCTTTTGAGAATCATATTGAAATTGATTCAAAAAAATATGGAGCTGGGAATGCCAATGTCAAAAAAATATAATTTACTTTATTATTAATTTCAGCAAAAAATTAGCTTCCCCTAAATGTAGGAATAAGAAACTTCATTCAGAAATTGTATGTGCTGCTTCAGTAATTAATTGCTAAAATGAAGCTTTCAAAATGCATCACCCCTAGAATTCTAGAGTGCCAGATTCGTTAGCACAATAGAAAAGATAAAGTGAGCAGCAGACCTTGTACAGCCCCCCCCATACATTTAAGATTTCTTTTATTCATTCCCCTTGTGCATTATTTCTACACATAGTAGAGTGGCAAACATTTCAATGACTTGCAGAAAACATGCAGTAACTGAATTCGTTCTTTGAAAGTGAATGTCAAACCTCTCAATGGAAAGCCATGCCTATTTGAGCATTTGTTTTCTCCTCTTTATGTGACATTGTTAATGTTTATTTGGCTCTTGCTTCTCTATTTCCATTACTCTAGTGCCCTGACACTTGCCACTGACACAAGTACTGACATAGACTGATATTTTTCCTCTAGCGATAATAAAGAATTTGTATCCAAAACATAGGAAGTGCCCTTTATTCTAGAACATACTTTGTAATCACACTTCCTACTCTGTTCTGTGCTATTTCCAGCTGATTTTTGTTATTTACATGAACCATTCAGAGAACTGCTTTAGCCTATGCTAAGATATAACACGATCACTACTCACATTTTCAATCCCTAACACACATTTGAATATTTATGTGTTTCCATGACAGATCAGTGGCCTTCAACTGGAAGGATGTAGTTTTGATGGAAATCGACTTTCAGAAAACCAGCATGATTCTCCCAGTGTGTCGTCTGTGCTCCCTTGTTACATGGCCTGGATTCCACAGGTAATTCATTATTAAGGGTCCTAAACTTTAAGTTCTGTAATTGGTTTCCTTTGCTGTAATAGGTTTTCAGTATGACGTCTGACCTGCTTTAAAAAAAAGAGGTCAGATTCCTTGCAGTTTAATAAGCTCCATTCTTCATATCTTCAAAAGTGGATTTTCTTTTTATCTAAAGCTATACTTCTCGGGAAGAGGAAATAGGTTTTCATAGAACACATGGTGCTCATTCGCCCTTTGTTGTTGCAGTGTGGACCTGTAAATAGAGAGTTCTATTCCTGGTATAGGTTAATATAATTTTCATTTCCTCAAATATTAGCTGGGAACATTTAACCAGACTAACCACAAAAGCCATATTGCATAGCCAGAGCCAGTTTTCATGACTGTTTTTTTAACTCACTGATGTTACCTTAAATTAGTTCTTTTCATTGGCTATTCACCTATTGAGCTAGTCTCAAGGCTTCATATGTGCCCGGATCACATTCAGCTTACTTTGATTCAGTAAAATTCCCCAATTATTTTTTATGATCTATTTGTAGCTTTATACAAACTTTTGTTTGAACAAATTCATGCAAAGAATCTGCAAAGTTGATTCCAACACGCAAATAATTATTGAGTGAAGTTAGGGCTGCCATACATCCGGAATTTCCCGGACTTAGCCGGAATATGGCAGTCAGAATCAGTGTCCGGGCAACCCATGTCAGAAGTGTAGATTTTGGCAACGTTTCTTAAAAATAGCTCAACAGCTTTGGCAAATAATAATAATAAAAAGCTCAACAACGTTCCCCCAAAAAGGTTGAAATATGGCAACCCTAGGAAGAGTCCCTCAGAAGAGAATGAATGACTAATTTTCCTATCATGTAATAAGCCAGATATATTAAGGCTTTTCTAAACCATGATGGTCACAGTTGCATTAGTTTTACATAGTGAAACAATTCAGTCATACAGGTATCTCACTATGTACCGATGCAGAAACAATTGTGTGGAGGAGAGCAGGCTGAAACCAAACAATAGGTGTCAGCCTTTGGAATAAGCAAGGAGCAACTGGAAGTATACACAGCGATCTGTCAAGGTGCAGGTCATACTTGGCCAGTGCTTTTTTCCTGTGGGAATGCAGGGGTACACATACCCCTAAATATTTTTTGAGTCTAAGTTTGGCCTCATTGAGGGGCAGTATTTTAATATGAGTAGAAAAATGAGAGTACCCCTAAACTTTTTTTTTTTTAAGAAAAAAAGCACTGTATTTGGCTAATCAATAGTTGTTGAATATCACAGAGCTCTTAGATGAATATAGTATAGCACTCCAGACTTTTTCATATGACTGGTTGATAAATCCTTAGGGAAGAAAACTGCCCTGAAGAATAACTTTTGTTCATTGTCTGCCATTTATCACACTCTCCCAATTAACCTCAGATGAATAATTATTGCCAGATTGTCTGCAGTTTATTTCCCCATAAAACTGAAATCTGAACCAAATTAGGTGTGATATGCAGTCATATGACTCTTTCCCTCTAGTGTTTTCTTAATTAAAAACAGCATTGAATATTGCAGTAAGGAACAGGGAGGGTGTATTTTACTCTTTCCCCTCTGGCTGTTCATTTGCTCAAGACCTCACTTTTGCTTTTTCACCCCAACCTGTTTGCTCATTCTCAGGGAAAAAGGACCTTGTATATTTTCTGCAGGGGGGAAGCATGTTTGGGGTGCTTTTGAGTTGACAAAGTGCTAGAAAGAAATAGACTGTTCAGCCCTTCCATACACTTACCTCCTTCTGCTCTCAAAACTGCTATCCCTTTTTGTTTAAGTTGAGGGAAAGGAGACACATAGCTGCATTTATTTGACCCTCAGATTTTTGGGGTGCTGTGTGTATATCCTGTGTTTATAGTCTGAATATAACACTTCGATAAGAATCTTTATATGATTTTTTTTTAACGAAGTCATGATTTTCAGGTATCTTATTTTCCATTAACAATGTTGGCACACGTGTAAAAGCAATGCAAGAGTGGTTCAAAGGCAGTTTTGAGTCATGTGTATAAACTTCCTATGATCCCATAAGACTTCACCTAGTGCAATTCTGAGAGATCAGCTGCGGAAACCTCAGCAAGGGCAGATCAAACGAACATTTGATACAAAGACATGGACAACAGCATTCACTACTGGATCTCAGTAAAGTGTATTGTTGTTAGAGATGTGCTTCATATGAACTCTGGGTCAAACTGGAGTGTCTCAGAGCCTTTGGGGGCTTTCCCACAGCAGAATCTGTGCAAGGTCCCTCATGTCAAAGCAGAGTCTCCAAAAAGGCTTGTTTCAAATTGGTATCAATAAACTGCTATTTTATTTTATTTTATTGTGAGAAGCAAAAGCTCTCAGTGAACTAGGTTGAACTTTTCTTCCCATCTCCACACTTTCAATTTCTTTTTTAAAAAATCCATTCTTTTTTTTTTGTCTGAGTACTTTTGTGCATTTTTATTAAATGCTGTGCTATTCTCCACACACACACACACACACAGCTTAGTTGTATGTAGGGTTGGTGC